GGGTGGATACGGCGTCCAGAGTTGAGTTTATATACTAACTGGAGAAAGTCATGGGGGATTGTGGTAATTGACTGCAAGCGACTAAAGATGGACTTTCAATTGACCTTTGGAGTGCAGATGGCAGCGCGATGGGACGAAACCGTTTCGCAAGAACATTTGAGGACGAGGATTTGGGGATTGGAATAATGGTAACTTGAAACCAAGAATCAGGAATCGATGGTGAAGACAGGGACTCATTAACAATGGGTGTCACCATGTTGACCAGGGAAACTGCTCCAAATCCGAGAAGTGCCGGAAGACAATCAGGGCCTGCAGCCAAGAATACTTTGGAGAATCGAGAAGCTTAAAGATTTCATCATTGGAAAAAGACAGCGAACTGGATTCATTGCACGAAAAGGAGACAGTCCGTCTCTCGTTAAACGGGTGGATGAAAGCGGTGTCACGGGTGTAGACACCCACCGGGGTATTCGAGTGTTTTCTTTTCTGCTCACAGAGGAGGCGAACATCTTGCCATAAAAGCCTGGTGTTCTTTGTTCGCAGGATTCAGGCGGCGAAAATTGCATTTAGATGCGTTATCTCAGACCTGATTCAGTCAGAATGGTGCATTACAACTAATGCATGGCGAGCACTGTAGGCCCTTTCTTTGTGCGGTCCCAGTGACTTTAAAAAGAGGGAGGAATTCTATCATCATAGACAAACCCACCCCTGGGCAAACAGAAGAAAATGTTTGCGCCACTCCAGTTGTCTTGGCCCTGCTCTAACCTACGGGGTGAACCGAGCCATGTTCTCAACCACATCGAAATGACACAACAGCGTGACACGTTGCACGTGAATAAAGATCATTGGAAGTTTCCAGAATTTGCCTAGATCCCCCTTCATTTTTCCATGTGCCTCTACAGAACTTAACAGACACCGCTGTTCTTTCCCATTTAACCTCGATGAACCAATCACATTTATTTCTAGCTTACATGTGAACAGGTATAACTGTAAATGCCTGAAGACGAAGCTACGAAAACAAGCTTATTTGCTACGTTCGTCGTTTGATATTCTTATGAGAATCTCCCACATAAACTTAAAATTACAAGGTAAAAAATATGGTCCACAGAACAGAGTCGGGTGAGAAGATACTACTGTGGAAAACTGAGGATGGTTAACAGAGCGGAATTATTCGCTTCAATGATCTTTTCATTGAACAACAGAGATATTTCAACAAAATTATTCAAAAAGAAATCCGTAAAACCGAATCTCACTATCGTTCGTAGAATAGACCGAGACACATTTTGTTTCTTTATTCCAATTCTCACTGACGCTTTTTATTTCTGTTTTTTCTATGATAACTCTGATTAAAAGAAAAAGGAGGGGGATAGGGAGTAGACAGAATGCGTTAAAATTGCTGAGTGTATGATGACAATTAGCAAGGGAACGTTGACTTTTTCATCATTTGCCACTTTCACCAACACCGAATTACTCATAACTTTTACCAAGCAAATACTCCAACGCCTTAACTGAGTTTTATTCCGGATAGCTGTTAGTGTCATTCTTTGCTTTTATCAAAGAGAAACAACCTGCTTTGTTTCTCATAAACGATCTATTCTAGAGAGAAAGAGAGCGTGCTAAATGCACTTAACCTATAAGCGAATCACTCGGTTGCGCTTTGGGCTTTTCACCCATTACTCGCCCATTTTCATAGCATAATTGGGAGTGACCTGAAAAAATCATACCCGCTTAAAACGGAGTGAAGTGCTCTCCTGAATCATGTGACTGATCGGACTAGTAGCTAAAAAGAACTGTATTTCAAGGCTGTGCATTGATTGAGTTTCGGAAGCTTGTCAGGTGATACAAACACAACACTAGACTCGATGCGATGACCACAGTTATCCTGGACACAAAAAGATGTGGACGACGCTGTCAAACGGTCATCTCCATTTCACGCACATCAAAACAGGGGCATAACCTTAAAATATAAACACATCGGTCAAGGTTATATAATTCGAGCAGCTCTAACGCAAAAGTGCATAACAGTTCTGGCTCACTTTGTGCACAAAGTCCTGTATTTCGAGCACATATAACGCAGTAGCTCACAAACAGCAATATTCCTTTGAAGAACCTGACAGCCCGGGTGGAGTTTAGTAACCATTGCAGTGGTGGGGTCTATGAATTGGGCTTTCGATTCGTTCGAACATCATACAACACCATTATTGTACATGATCAACGGTTAGTGAATAGATGGAAGGTATAGACAAAATAAAAATAATTCCATACTGCATCGGTCGTCGTGCAGGATAATCAGGACCGCACTGCCCATTGATTCGAGCGGGATGGGTAGTGATAAGTGGGTTACTGCTCAGATATTCCAACCTTTGTTTAACTCTC